TCATTTTTTCCTTTTGGTTTTCTGATTGGTTGATTTTTTTCTACCCTGTCTTCTAATTCACTGATCCGGTCCTCAGCTTCCTCTACTTTGCTGGGTAGTCCTTCCATTGTTTTCTTAATTTCTGCTATGGTTTTCAGTGTTTTTATATCTTTACTCATGGTGCTGATGATGTCCTTACTTATGCTATTGAGCTTCCTCAACATCATGGCTCTGAACTCTACCTCTGATAATTTGCTGAGCTGTATTTCATTGATCTCATCTTTGATAGAGTTCTCTTGTTTTTTTCATTTGGGATTTGTTTCTTTGTTTCACCATTTTGGCTATCTCAGTGGGTTTTGGAGCCTGCAAAATTTTCCCTGTGGGTGTTGGTGTGCTGTTTGTGGCTCCCTTTACTGGGTTCGGATGAGCCTGGATGGGCCCACGTTGAACACCACTGTCAAGTCTTACTTTCCTGGGTAGATTAGCAAGCCCAGGAAAGGTTCAATTACCCTCTAGGTTTTTCCTGGTAGCTAGTAGTCTCAGTTACTCACTGCTTTGGAATGTAGCCCTGGTGTTCTGCATAAGAGCATTTTCAGAGGGTGGGATAGATGCTGGTTGTTAATGAGTCTCAATTTTCATTTCTTTGCCTTACCTGGGAAAGGCTGAATCTCCAGCAGGGAGGGGGGGCTGCTGCTTTTCCCCACAGCTTGGGGAAGGAGCACACTGGCCACCATTCTTTGTGGCCACATCTCAGCAAAACCTCTGAGTGCCCTCCAAATCCCAGTCTGCCTTCCCTCTGCTGTAGTCTTCCAGATGAGGGGCTGTGGCTATTTTAGCGCTCTGTCCTTGCTCTTTGGGCTGTGGAGCGGGTTTGGTCTGTTCCCCAAGGGCGCTGCTCATAGCTAAGCCTGCTGCTGTCTGTGGGCTCCCTGCCCGCCACCCTGTCATACATCCGCAGATCCTACCAGTGTCCTTGGTTATGTGGTCCTGTCCTGCTGCTTTTCTGTTGCTTTTTTCTGAGGATTTGTCTTTATTTTAGTTGTATTTTCCGTTTAGTCCTGGGAGATCGTCTGTGTGGCTTCTATTTACTCTGCCTCCTTTTTCACAACCTCTAAGCCTATCCTGTGCGCAGCTGGGTTGCACAGGCCTTTCTGGTGCCCCCACACCCTGCAGGTCCCGCGGGTAACTGGATTGCACAGTCCCTCTGTGGACCTGGCTCTATGCCTATGTGATGGGCTGCTGGGTTGCACAGGCCTCTTTGGAGCTTCAGCACTCTGCAGGTCCCGTGGTAAACTGGATGGTACAGTCCCTGCTGGGTTGCGCTGGCCTCTCTGGTGCTTCAGCACTCCACAGGCCCTGTTGGTAACTATATCGTACAGTCCCTGCTGGGTGGCACAGTCCTCTCTGGTGCTTCAGCACCCCACAGGCCCTGTATGTAGCTAGATCGTGCAGTCCTTGCTGGGTTGCACAGGCCTCTCTGGTGCTTCAGCACCCTGCAGGTCCTGTGGGTAAGTGGATGGCACTGTCCCTGCTGGGTCCCATGGGCCTCTTTGGTGCTTCAGCACCCAGCGGGTCCTGCGGCTTATTGAATGGCACAGTCCCTACTGGGTCGCACAGGCCTCTCTGGTGCTTCAGCTCCCCACAGTTTCCGCGTGTAATTGGATGGTATAGTTCCTGCTGAGTTGCACGTGTAATTGGATGGTACAGTCCCTGCTGGGTTGCACAGGCCTCTCTGGTGCCCCTGCACACTGCAGTTCCCGTGGGCGCGGGCAGCTGGTTCGTACCAGTCTCTCTTGGGCTCGGGCTTCCCACTGCACTGGACCACACAGGCCTCTGTGGAGCCCCAGGTCGTTCTGCTGGCAGCTGGGGAGTGCTGCTGCCCCATGGGGTAAACTCCTGCTCAGCTTTTGCTGTAGATTTTGGGGATGGGTCTCATCTGCTGGTCTTTGCTTCTGTTGCCTGGGGATGGATTTCTGCTCCCCAGCCTCTGTTGCTGGTGGTATATCTGGACTCTGATCGGGCTGCTACTATGGGGGATGGTGCTGGGCTCAGGTCAGTCTGCAGCTTCTGCGACCAGTACCTTGGGAGCTCCACTACTGTGTTCGTAGAAAATGAAAACACTGCCCTGGCCAGTTTGGTTCAGCGGTTAGAGCGTCGGCCTGCGGTCCTGAGAGGCCTGGGTTCGGTTCCCGCTAAGGGCACGTACCTCGGTTGCAGTTTGTCCCCGGCCCTGGTCGGTTGTGCGGGTGGCAGCCACTCGATGTGTTCCTTTCACATCGATGTTTCTCTCTCTCTCTCTCTCTGTTCCTCTCTCTCCCTCCCACTCTACCTGAACAAAAAATGGAAAAATGTCCTCGGGTGAGGATTAAAAAAAAAAAAAAAAAAGAAAATGAAAACACTAACTCAAAAATATATGTGCACCCCCATATTAACTGCAGTTATTATTTCCAATAGCCAAGATTAGAAATATCCTACGTGTCCATGGATGGATGAATGGATACAGAAAATGTGGTATATACATATAATGGAAAGTTATTCAGCCATAAAAAGAATGAAATTTTGCCATTGGGGACAAAATGGGTGGACTTGAGGGCATTATACTAAGTGAAATAAGTGGGACAGGGAAAGACCATTACTGTATGATCTCTCTTATATATGGAATCCACAACAACAACAAATTAATCCTTAGATGCAGAGAACAGATTGGTGATTTCAGGGCAGGTGGGATAAGGGGTGGGAGAAATGGGTGAACTGTTTCATGGATATTTTTGGTTTCAGTTTAAGTAAGTTAAATAAATAAAAATAATTTAAGTGCTGATTAAACTTAATATAACTATATATGACAATATGTTAAAGACTGCTAACAATTATGGTTAAAAGTTTGATCTACCACTATCAAATAAGAAATGTGATGTTGCAATATAAATATTGTTATAGTATAAACAAATACCTATATTTAACATTTTTTTCAAAGAAATTTATTGCTATATTTGATCAGATTTAATTGGGAAAAGAGATGCTATAATGTAGTTTGATTAAATTCATTATGAAAATAAAAGAATACTTTCATAGCATGATAAAAAGAATATTCTTAATTTTAACTAATACCAAATGTAGGAGGAAAATACCCTGTAAAATTGGTTGTCATTAGTATTTAATTCAACTTTGCTACTTAGTATGGCCTATGGTTGGTGCCAGTCCATATATTTCTTATTACCGGTTTCTCAAGAGATAAGTACACGAATTGAGATGAAGTGTTTAGAAACTTTAATAACATTTTGAGAGAGTGATTTTGTTTTTTAGAACTAGAAATGAAACATTTGGGCTTGTATTTTGTATTTTGAGCTTATATATCTTTTAAATTTCATTTTTTCTAGTTTTTTTTTTACTAGTTTTTTTATTAGCTTATGTATTATTTTTTACTTTTTATTTATTTAATCCTCACCCGGCGATAGAGGATCTTTTTCTATTTATCTTTAGGTAGGCTGGGAGTGGGGAGAGAAGAGAAACATCTATGAGAGAGAGATACATCCGATTGGTTCCCTCCTTCACGACCCGATCGGGGCTGGTGACTGAATAGCAACTGAAGTATGAGCCCTTGACCAGAGTTGAACTGGTGGCTCTTTGGTCTCCGGGCCAGTGTTCTAACCGCTGAACCAAACTGGCCAGGGGATTTACTTATTATATATTACTTTTTTTTTTTTTTTCCTCACCCGAGGACATTTTTCCATTTTTTGTTCAGGTAGAGTGGGAGGGAGAGAGAGGAACAGAGAGAGAGAGAGAGAAACATCGATGTGAATGGAACACATCGAGCGGCTGCCACCCGCACAACCACAACCGACCAGGGCTGGGGACAAACTGCAACCGAGGTACGCGCCCTTAGCGGAAACCGAACCCGGGTCTCTCAGGACCGCAGGCCGACGCTCTAACCGCTGAGCCAAACCGGCCAGGGCTATTTATTACTTTTTATTAGTATTTAATGAGATATCTTCCTATGATGAATTAGAAGTAGGATATTTCCATAGCTATTTTTAGAAGCATTGCTCAATCTTGCTATTTGAAAGAGACAAATGTATCACTAGTCATGGATGATAATGATAATGTTATTGAGAAGAGCGAAGAGTCCACTAGAAATTGGTATACCGAATAAGAATTCAGTAAAGTGGTCACATGTAGAGAATATTGTAGCTTTAGGTTTGGAAAAATTTTTTCAGTTTTATTATAATTAAGTTGTAAGATTTTATTATGTAGAACCAAACATTATTATTATTATTTTTTTTTCCATTTTTTGCACAGATAGAGTGGGAGGGGGAGAGAGAGAGAGAGAGAAACATCGACGTAAAAGGGACACATCGAGTGGCTGCCACCTGCACGACCAACTAGGGCCGGGGACAAACTGCAACCAAGGTACATGCCCTTAGCGGGAACCAAACCCGGGTCTCTCCGGACCACAGGCCGATGCTCTAACCGCTGAGCCAAACCAGCCAGGGCCTAAACATTATTTTAATGATGAGAACTAACTGTTCAAAAATCACTGGCAGCCCTGGCTGGTTTGGCTCAGCGGTTAGAGCGTCGGCCTACGGTATGGAGAAACCCGGGTTCGGTTCCCGCTAAGGGCACGTACTTCGGTTGCAGTTTGTCCCCGGCCCTGGTTGGTCGTGCGGGTGGCAGCCACTCAATGTGTCCCTTCACATCGATGTTTCTCTCTCTCTCCCTTCCTCTCTCTTCCTCCCACTCTATCTGTGCAAAAAATGGAAAAATGTCCTCAGGTGAGGATAAAAAAAAAAAAAGAATCACTGGCAGATTCAAAGTAAGACATGGGTAGTAATGGGAAGGAGGTCTGAAATACAGTTACTACTGTGCAAAAAAAAAACAGAAAGGAAAGCTTTACTTTTTATAAACTTTGATGTGAATGTTATCAGATAGGAAGCTAGGTGAGTGGACATTTTAATCTGAATGTTAATATGTATGTTAATTCAGTTAATAACTCAGTACATTTTCCTTCAAAATTATTGTTTTAGAGAACAGAATCTTGGCATTTTCTTCCTCAAGAAGTCGACTCTTCCCATACCTTGGATACAACCCAGACCAGGTTTAATGTGAGAGAGGAAGGGACAGAAGTGATAGACTTCCCCTCTGTGGAGGAAGGTATCTTGACCCAATCAGAAAATCAAGTAAAGGAACACAACAGAGATCTCTTTTGTTCTCCATTGCTAGGTAATGCTATTTTTTTTTACCAGTATTAATACTTCACATTTATAAAATACTTACTTTTAGGTGACTGCACTACCTGCATTTAAATCCTTTCTTGAGTTGAGGAGCTGTGAAGCTGTAATAAAAAATGTTAGCTTATTTCTGGTTTTCTACACAGGCCAGTGTGTGTAGTTATGTTAAACTTGCAGTTGCCCCTCATTTTATCATACTCTAATGCTCACACAAGGCAGAAAGTGGATAACTTCCTTTCTAGTGGGTGCGCCTCCTCAGTCCTGAATTTGTGGAAGTTTTTCTTGGGGTTAACCGTGTTTTATCCTTTGACTACTTGGCTGTGGAGACTCCATAATCGTTAAAATACAATTAAAAACAAATGTTCATGTTTACCTCATTAGATTCTTAGACTTGTTTACAGCACATGTTATTCTCAGTTTTCAGACCCAAAATTAAGATAAAGAGGTTAAATGACTTGTCTGAGATAGATCTTACTGCTTTGCTGTATATGGAGTGATTTATTAGCTTTTTACAAAAGGTAAACTTGAAGTACCTCTCAAATCATCAAAGTAGGAGATAGAATAAATTATACTGTCACTACTTTGGATCATTGCAAATATATAAGAATGCTAAACCAATATGGCAGTTTAAATTTTTTCATGCCTAAATCGTAATTCAGACAAATATTCTTTTGTTACTCCTTTCTTCAGAATTTTTTTGAAAAACCACTATATATATATATATATATATATTTATATTTATTTTTTTTTTTTTTTTTTTTTTTTTTTAATTTAATTTAATTTTATTTTTTTTCCCCCCCTCACCAGAGGATATTTTTCCATTGATTTTTTTTTTTTTCCAGAGAGAGTAGGAAGGAAGGAGGGAGGGAGGGAGAGAGAGAAAGAGAAACATTGATGTAAGAGACACATCAGTTGGTCACCTCTTGCACCACCCTGACTGGACTGGGGGTTGAACCTGCAACCAAGGTATGTGCCTTTGGGAATTGAGCCCATGACTCTTCTACCCGTGGGCCAGTGCTCTTACTGTTGAGTCAAACTGGCCAGGACCACCATGTTTTTAAAAAATTAGCTTTTTTCAGAGAAATGGGTTCAACCATGAAGTTGTTTTTTTTTTTTAATATTTTTTTATTGACTTCAGAGACAGGATAGCAGAGGGAGAGAGTGATAGAAACATCAATAATGAGGAAGACAGTGCTTGGCTGCCTCCTGCACATACCCTACTGGGGATCAAGCCTGCAACCCAGGCATGTGCTCTGACTGGGAATTGAACCAGGGACCTCCTGGTGCATAGGTCGATGCTCAACCCCTGAGCCATACTGGCTGGGCTCACAAGTTGTCAGAGTTTTTTAGAGGAGCATGAATAGGAGTTAATTTAAGTTATTTCATAAGAACTTAAGCTAGTGCTATCCAAATAAAAATATTAGTGCCAGTGCGTATTCTGTGATTTGGATCATGAAAGTCAATTTTTTTTTTTAGTCCTCACCTGAGAATATTTTTTCCATTGGAAAGGAGGGTTGGGACGGGGAGCAGAAAGAGAGAAAGAGAAACATCAATTGGTTGCCTCCTGCATGCGCTCCCAGCAGGACTGGGGATCAAACCTGTAACCCAGGTATGTGCCCTTGACTGGAAATTGAATCTTTAACCCTTTGGTATGTGGGCTGATGCTTTAACCACTTAGCCACACTGGTCAGAACTGTTAAAGTCCATTTTAATTTTAGTTTTACATTTTAAGAAAGATGTTGACAACGTTAGTGTTCCTTTGTGGGAAGAGATGACAATGATACTAGATGAAAGAGAAGACTTTGCTATGATCAGGTCTTCGAAGGGCTGTCATGATGAAACGGAAGCAACTTATTTTCATTCATTCATTTAACAAATATCTAAGTGTCTGTTTTGTGTTTAATGCTAGGAATATGTAGATGAAAGCTGTCTCCTCTTTTGGGAAGACAATCCAATAAACAGAAAATAACAGTATCGTGTATGAGTACTTTAATGGTGTATAACAGGAGTGTGTAAACTACAGCCACAGGACAAGGCCCCTATTTTTTTTATGAGCTAAGAGTGGTTTCTGCATTTTTAAAAGGATTTTAAAAAAAGTTTATGCAACAGAAACTGTATATGACCAACAGAGTCTAAAATATTTACTACCTGGCCTTTTTTCTACAAAAAAAAAAAATTTTTTTTTTTTTTTATTCTCACCCTAGGACGTTTTTCCATTTTTTATTCAGATAGAGTGGGAGGGAGGGAGGGAGAGAGAGAGAGAGAGAGAGAAACATCAATGTGAAAGGGACACATCGAGTGGTCGCCACCTGCACGACCCAACCAGGGCCGGGGACAAACCGCAACTGAGGCACGTGCCCTTAGCAGGAACTGAACCCGGGTCTCTCTAGACCACAGGCTGACGCTCTAACCGATGAGCCAAACCAGCCAGGGCCCGAGGACATTTTTGTATTTATCTTTAGATAGAGCTGGAGGGAGAGAGGGAGGAAGAGAGAGAGAGAAACATCAATGTGAGAGAGACACATCGACTCGTTGCTACCCACACGACACCAGCCGGGGCCAGGGACAAACTGCAACTGAGGTATGTGCCCCTAGCGGGAACTGAACCCAGGACTCTCTGGTCCACGGGCCAATGCTCTGACCGCTGAGCCAGACAAGCCAGGGCATACTACCTGGCCTTTTATAAAAATATTTGCTAATTCCTAGTCTAGAGGTTAAAGTGAAAATTCATAAAGCTGTTTTAAACTTGATATAAGAAGGAATTGTCTATTAGAGCCTTTAATAGTGTAAAGACTATATAAGAACAACAACAAAAAATGAGCTTGGCCCTGGCCTATGTGGTGTGGACATTGTCCCGTGCATTGAAAAGTTGTCAGTTCAATTCCCAGACAGGGCATGTGCCTGAGTTGTGGGCTTGATTCCCAGTAGGGGGTGTGTGGGAGGCAGCGGATTGGTGGTTCACTCTCACATAGATTTTCTCTCTCTCTCTTCCCCCCTTTTTCTCTCTCTAAAAAAAGGTTAATAACAATTTTTTTAAAAAATGAGCTTATGTCACAGCAAAATGTCAAGCAAAATTCTCTAATAAAAGAATTTCAGCATTGAGTAGGAGATTGGCTTCTAAATTTTTTGCTAACATGAAGTTTTATAACTAGTTTCTCATTAACTGTAGAAAAAGTAGAACTTTTTTTTTAATCCTCATCCAAGGACATTTTTGCATTTATCTTCAGATAGAGTGGGAGGGAGAGATAGAGGAAAAGAGAGAGAGAGAGACAGACACATTGAGTGGTCGCCACCCATATGACCCCAACTGGGGCGGGGATGAACTGCAACTGAGGTACATGCCGTTAGCGGGAACCGAACCCAGGACTCTCTGGTCCATGGGCTGATGCTCTAACTGCTGAGCCAAACTGGTCAGGGCAAGTAGAACATTTTTAATTTTTAGAGCAGATCCCTGGATTTGATGGCTTAGGAAATTTTATCATGGCTATTGTGTTATGCATAAATACTACAGTCATTGTGGGGTATATTAGTCTTACCATTGGCAAATGTCATAATGAAAACTGGTGCTGGAACTAGATATCTCAAAAAAGAGTGATCCAAGCTATCCACAGTGTCCAAATGTGAGGATATGCAGGGTCTTTGTTAAAAAAAACCTTAGGATTCTTAGAGGGGGTGAAGGACTTATGAAGGTTATGAAATTAAAGTTATTAAGGTTTAAGACTGAGTCTCTAAGTCAAGGCCAAAAAGGAATCATACCAGTTAGTCCTTGGTGGTAAAGGTTTCTCATTTTTAATTCAGTAAATAAATAATAATTCTATTTTGAATGCCTACTAAGTGTTGCAGGTATTTGCTAGGCACTGAAGATACAGCTGTGAATAAAGCAGACATGGAGTTTTCAATCTAGGTAGGAAGCAGACCAAAGATTAAAACAAGAGTATGATAGTTATTATAGGGAAGGTGTGCAGTATTATAGGCATTCTGAATCACGCAAGTAAACTGGCAATAGTATTACATATATATTGGAAGAACCATTAGTTTTAGAAAATATCACCCATCCAGTTAAATTAATATTAAATAGGATGTTATTGGTTGTATAGATTTGTTTCTATTAATATTTAATTTTTTGTTTTATAGTTGTATAAATGCTTTAAGGAATAAGGACTTTATACTTATTTTGTATATATTCCAGGGCATATTCTAATAAGAATTATTTAGGTTGGTATTCAGGAATTCATGAGAATTTTTCTTCCTTTAAGTCAGTAGTTCTCAAACTTTATGGTCACAGGACTACTATACACACTTTAAAGTTATTGAGAACTCTAAAAACCTTTTGTTTGATATTTTTTCATATTAAATATTAAAACTCACCAATTTAAATATGATTAACTCATTAAAAACAACTTTATTGCATTTAACATAAGTTACATAGTTTTTTAGAAAAATAACTATATTCCAAAACAAAATTATTTAAGAGTATCACCGTTTTACTTTAAAAAAATTTCTGTAATGTCTTTTTTTTTTTTTAATCATCATCCGAGGATATTTTTTCATTTTTGTTCAGATAGAGTGAGAGGAAGAGAAGGAGAGAGAGAGAGAGAGAGAAACATTGACGTGAGAGGGGCACATCGACTGGCTGCCTCCTGCACGATCCCAACCAAGGCTGGGGACGAACCGCAACCGAGGTATGTGCCCTTGACTGGAATTGAACCCGCGACTCATTGGTCTGCAGTCCATTGCTCTAACCGCTGAGCAAAACCGGCCTTTCTTGATAGAAAACAGATAGTTTCTGATACCTGCTTCTACATTCAATATCATACATGCCGCTTTTGGAAAATTCCACTGTATCCTAGTGAGAAAATGAGAATGAATAAGGCAAATGGTATGTTAATAATATTTTTTTTAATCCTCTCTCAAGGATATGTTTTAACTGATTTTTGAGAGAGAGAGGTAGGGAAGAAGGGAGAGAAAGAGAGAGAGAGAGAAACAGAGAAACAGAAACATCAATATGAGAGAGAAACATCCATCAGTTGCCTTCCATATGCACCCTGACCAGGGATTGAACCTACAACCTAGGTATGTGCTGTGACTGGGAATTGAACCTGCAAACTTTTGGTGCATGAGACAATGCTGCAACCAATGGAACTACCCAGCCAGGGCCTTAATATTATTTTGAATATAATTTTGACTCTAGACTTAGGGATGCCCAGAAGCCAGTGGACAGCACTTTGATATAAAGTGGAAAGAAAACTTATAATGGTTAAGAGCACTTGCTAAAAAGTTAGTGTTTAGGTTCAGATCTCACTCTGGCATTTAAGTTATTTGAATGTGGACAAAGTACTGCATATTTCTCAAGTTTTGTAATCATGTTTTCTCAGCTATAAGATGGATATAATAATACCCATCCTTCAAGGTTGTCATGAGGGTTAAAGTGAAATATTGTATGTTTAGTGCCTGGACCTTGTCAGGTAGTCGCTGCTATTATTATGTTATCGTACTCAAGTATATAGAAACTTCCAGATGGCAGCATGTTAGGTTCTTTAAAGTATTATATAAACTAAACAGTTAATTTTTAGCATTTCCAACATTTTCATATTTGAAACTTTTCAGTCATTCAAGATAGCTTTGCTTCTCCCGATTTGCCTTTGCTGACATGTTTGACACAAGACCAAGAGTTTGGGCCTGATTCCATATTTCACCAAAGTGAACCAGATTTTGCACCTCTGAGGTAAGATGTCTTTTACATTTTCATGTAACCTTTCTACTCTTGCTTTTCTTGTTTTCAGTTGTTACTAATATTAATGACTTCAGCCTAAATTGAGACTTTGGGGTAGAAGTTAGATAGTTTCAGCTCATACTGTGAAGGTAACAGGTCCCTAAGTTAAGATATGATGCATATTAGTTTGGCATAGTAACATATGTATGTGTAAAAATAAGCCAGGTTATTGTAGTGTATTTAAAAATGATTTTTGCCCTGGCCGGTTTGGCTCAGTAGTTAGAGCATCGGCCCATGGACCAGAGAGTCCCGGGTTTGATTCCCGCTAAGGGCACGTACGTTGGTTGCAGTTTGTCCCTGGCCCCAGTTGGGGTTGTGGAGGTGGCAATCAGTCGATGTGTCTTTCATATCAATGTTTCTCTCTCTCTCTTTCTCCCTCTCTCCCTCCTGCTCTATCTGAAGATAAATGCAAAAATGTCCTCGGGTGAGGATTAAAAAAAAATTTTTTTTTAAATGTATTCTAGCATTTCAGGCTTTTTTTAATTTAGAAGGCACACTGGATCTTTCTTTTTATAAGTCTTTCTCTTTTACTTCCCATCACCCAACCCCATTTTGTAAAAAGCACTTATTTAATGATCACTAACTTGTTTGGCACTCCATTTTGGTTAGCTGATATTGAATAAACCTAGTTATCTTTCCTTATCTTGTAGGTGTGAATATGAAGTAAGACTTTTCTTTTTTTTTTTTTTTTATCCTCACCCGAGGACACTTTTTCATTCTTTGTTCAGATAGAGCAGGAGGGAGAGAGAGAGAGAAACATCGATGTGAAAGGGACACATCGAGTGGCTGCCACCCGCACGACCAACCAGGGCCGGGGACAAACTGCAACCGAAGTACGTGCCCTTAGCGGGAACCGAACCCGGGTCTCTCCGGACCGCAGGCCGACGCTCTAACCACTGAGCCAAACCGGCCAGGGCAAGTAAGACTTTTCTAACTGACATGTCCAAATTAACAATTATTCCAAATTAATACCCTTAGGAATAGTAATAATGGGAGACAAGTCTGGAATTCTTCAAAACATTTGAAATTATCCAAGAATATAAGTTTTCCTTTTTTGTAACTAAAAAAAGATACCTTAAATTAAAAGCTAGATGATTACTGAGTATGAACTTCTGTCCTTCTGCTTTATATTACTTTAAAAAAATGTTTTTTATTGATTTTTTTTATTTAGGGAGAGAGAGAAACATCATTGTAAGAGAGAAACAGCAATTGGCTGCCTCTTGCATGCCCCCTACTGGGGATCAAGCTGCAACCCAGGGATGAACACTGACCTGGAATCGAACCAGGACCTCTCAGTTCATGGGAGGATGCTCAATCCACTGTGCCACACTGTCTGGGCATGCTATATATTACTTTATTTAAAAAAATTTTTTAAATTATTTTTCTATATTGATTTTAGAGAGAGAGAGGAAGGGAGAGGGAGAGAGAGATAGAAACATCAATGAGAGAGAACATTGATTGGCCACCTCCTGCACGCACCCCACTGGGGATCTGGCCCACAACCTGGGCATGTGCCCTGACCAGGAATGGAACCGGCGACCTCTTGGTGCATGGGTCGACGCTCAACCACTGAGCCACACTGGCCGGTCACTATGTATTACTTTAACATTACTTTTTTGAAAAGTTACTTTTTTGAAAAGTGTTTTGCACATAATAGTCAACCAGTGATTAGATTACTGTTGTACGTTTGTGGGGAGAGTATATCACTTCTTAAGTGGTTTTCAAGAGCATACTAAATGACTAGTAAAAGAACTAATGCAGGTTAAATGAATTTAAAATTATGGTAGGTGATAAACATTTTTTTATTATTATTTTTTTCTTTATTGATTTTTTTTTTTTTGGAGAGAGGAAGGGAGAGGGAGAAAGACATAGAGACATAGATGAGAGAGAACATTGATTGGCCGCCTCCTACATGTCCCCCACTGGGGACTGGGTCCACAACCTGGGCATGTGCCCTGACCGGGAATCGAACAAACGACCTCTTGGTGTGTGGGCTGATGGCTCAACCTCTGAGCCACACCGGTCGGGCATAAATTAAACATTTTAAATAGTAAAATTTGGAGTTTTCATTTAAAGAATCACTTTTCTGCTAATATGGAATTCCTTATATTTTTTGGCAATATTGTTTTAGAGAAGCCTGTGAAAATATCAGGGCTGCACGATAGTAGTGCACTGTTTATTAAAAATTTGCCTTGTTTAATCATTAGTCACTTTAAAGGAATTTGAAATTAGAACTATGTTTTTCAACACACTTTTCAAATAACGTTGATATCAGTGACATATCAGTTTTGTATTTTTACATGTTGGTGTTTTAAAAAATAAATGTTTTAAATGTGTAACCTTTTTATTTTTAACTGTATATTTTTCAGGGGAATTCCTGGTAAGTCTGAAGACACTAAAGAGTTTTCTCGACCGTCAGAAGTTAGTGAAGCTTTATTCCGGGCATCCTCAGAAATAGCTTCACACTTAGTTAACAGTCACTTTAGTGTATCTCAGCACACACTTATAGGGAGTGCAGCTGAGTCTCAGGGCTCTTTTTTACATCCTGAACAAGGAACCAAAGAAGAGACTATTTCATCTGATATAGTTGATAAACTGAAAACCCCCAAAGACTCTGGTAATTATGGTGCTCTTTGTTCATATATGTCATGGAAGACACAAGTTACACAAGAGCCAGAAACCAATTTAGCTGATAAAGATCAGTTTTCTTTTTCAACTACTTCTGATACAAGTGATGAATATGTACCTCCTAAAGAAAGTGACAGTTTTGATGCTTCTTGTTCAAATGTGCTGTATTGGGAACGGGAAGCTTTACAACAGTCAGAACAATATTTAACCTGTAAGGACCATGATTCTTGCTCAGATTCACCTGATATAATTGATAAAAATAAAATTCTTGAGGGAAGTTACAGTTTTAGTTTCCCTTTTTCATTTATGCCATGGAGCAAACAGGGAGCTTTACACCATCCAGAAACATGTCTGATCTGTAAGGATCATGTTTCTTTTCCACATGAACTTGCTCCTCATTTTCATAATAAAATGTCATCTTTTTTCTTGCATTGTTTGTTGGAAAGGAGAGGAAAAAGGGTTCCCTTGATGTCTGATAGTCATTATTTTGAGAGTGTTTATTTAAAGACTCCAGCTGAGAATGAGGTGAAACAAAAGATGATTTCTTTGGAGGGTTATGAAAGAAATAAAGAAGGTCTGGGGAAAGAATTATCTCAGTGTTTTGAACTAAAGAATAGCAGTACTTCAGTATTTTCAGAGGTGTGTCCTAGATCTTCAGAAATAGAGTATATTGAGAATGTTGTAGTTCCTGATAATTCTGTAAAAGTTTTGGAAACACATATACTCTCCAGGGGACATGATATCTCTAAGGGAGAGACTTCTGGTAGTTCTCTTCAGATTATTACATCCAGCTTGGATGAGACATCAGAACAGCTGTATTTTCAAGAGGAAAGAAACCAAAAGGCAAGTGCTGCTTTTGATGGGAAAAATGTTGATGCTACTGAGAATGTAGCCTTTGAGGCAGTTATTGCCTCTATTGAGCCTTCCAAGAAAGAGAGTACAGTAAATGAAATCCAAACTGACATCAGTATATCTGTAACAAATGACAGCCAATAAAGTGAACCAAAAAATTCAGATCTTTTCCTATTAAATTACAACGATGAAAATTCTTTCTTTGATAAACTTAGTCATCCACGCTATCAATCTACTCCTGGGGTGTTTGAACCAGCAGCTTCAGAACTATTGTTGCATAAAAAAGATGATGATGTTAGCTCCCTGTACTGGCTTCCTAATGTAAAATCACTCCACAATGCTCCTCAGGAAATGTTCATTAAGCCATGTTCTTTTGGTCCAGAGCTTAAGTCATCTGCTTTTTTAAGTGAAAAATCTCACTGCCACGTTGTTGGTCTTTGCAAAACACAGTCAGCTTTATTTCAGTGTGATGTAGACAATGAATCATTTCTTCCCATTGGGAAGATAAAGTCTGTTTCTGCTCTTGACCTTGCAGAGAAGTCAGGATCTTCAAACATTATTTACCCAGTGGAAGTATCGTCTTCAGATTCTTTGTTTTTGCAAGATTTAAAGCAGCAAACCTTTGAAGAAGTTGCAGATTCCTCAGGCTATATTTTGGGTAAGAATGTAAATTCTAGTCATGTCATTGAAGGTCTATCTGCAGCTGTAGAAAGCAGCTTTTCAGCAAACTTGGTGGCATATGATGCAAAGTCCCAAGGTGCTTTACCTGTGATCAGTGATGCATCATTAATTGCAGTTGGCCAGGAGACATTCCTGAAAGCTGATATAGGCCTAGGTGAAATTCCTCAGCCTATGGGAGCCAAACCCAGTTTTAGGATACATGTAATTATGCAAAATGACTCCTATTTTGTAGAGGATGTGCAAGGGAAGGCTGAATCTGACATCTATTCTCTGGATGATGACACTGAATGCTGTAGCCTAGATGAAAATGCTGATGTATGCAGTAAAAGATCTACTGAACTACAAAGAGAGGTGAGACACAGTAAAATGATAGTTGGGGAAAACATGGTCTTCTCCAGTATTGTTTCAGGAAATGGCATTGCTAATTGTTTTTATTTAATTTTTACTATTTCCCAGATATATGACCAAGGTGACTTGACTGGGGAGTGCAGTGAGCTAGCAGGTTTAGAAAATTTGCTTGATGATTTAGAGTTTTGTGACATCTCCCTGCCCTGGGAGTCTCCTTTACAACTATCATCCAAGGAAGAGACTGTAAGTTTTTCCATTGGACATTTCATATGGGGCAGGGAAAGAAATATTTTATTTGAAAAATGGATATAAAATTGCCCATTTATGCCCTGGCTGATTTGGCTCAGTGGTTAGAGTGTCGGCCTGTGGACCAAAGGGTCACAGGTTCAGTTTTGGTCAAGAGTAAGTACCTCTGCCCTGGCTGGTTTGGCTCAGCGGTTAGAGCATTGGCCTGTGGTCCAGAGAGACCCGGGTTTGGTTTCCGCAAAGGGCACGTATCTCGGTTGCAGTTTGTCCCCAGCCCTGGTTGGGTCCTGCTGTGGCAACCACTCGATGTGTCCCTTTCACGTCGATGTTTCTCTCTCTCCCTCCCTGCCTCCCACTCTATCTGAACAAAATATCGAAAAAATGTCCTCGGGTGAGGATTAAAAAAAAACAGAGTAAGTACCTCGGTCCCCATCCCTGATCGGGTATTATGGGAGGCAGCCAGTCAATGTTTCTCTCTCTGTCTGTCTGTCTCTCTCTCTGTCTCTCTCCCTCCTCCTCCCTCCCTCCCTCCCTCCCTCCCTCCCTCTACCTGAAGATAAATGGAAAAATATTCTTAGGTAAGGATTTAAAGGAAAAAAGCCCATTTATATCCTCTAATACCAACTTATGACTTATAATATGGTCTTCATTGATATGTAGGAATATGCCTCATTATTTTGTTAGAGATTAACATAAAAGAAATATTTATATTTTGTAGACCATAGCACTTAGTGAGTTCTGTGGTGTCTTGGAAAAGCCATCTTTTGGTGCTTCCAGGTCTTTCATGCCAGGCATTTTAACTCTTCCAGGTTGTGCCAGCAAGAACCTTTGGGATAGTGTTAAAAAGATTAGACTTATTCATGGAGACATTGATTTGTGCTTTCCCCCTCTCTGACCTTCAATGTACAAGCTTTGGAATAGGCCCTGAAAATATTCAAGTATTTCTTCTTAATTTTTAAAATATTTACTTACTGATTTGAGAGAGAAAGAGAGAGACATTGATTTGTTGTTCCACTTATTTATGCATTCATTGTGTGATTCTCTGTTTGCCCTGATGGGGGATCAGACCTGCAACCTTGGCATATCAAGAACTAACCAACTGAACTGCCTGGCCAGGGTTCCAGTATTTCTTTTTACTTTTTTTGTTTTGTTTTGTTAATACTCACCCAAGGATATTTTTTTCATTGCTATTTAGATAGAGTGGAAGGGAGGGAGGGAGAGAGAGAGAGAGAGAGAGAAAGAAACGTCAATGTGAGAGAGACACATTTACTGGTTGCCTCCCTCACGACCCCACCAGGGCCGGGGATTGAACTTGCAACCCAGGTATGTGCCCTTGATCTGGAATCGAACCCATGACCCTTGGATTTGCAGGCTGATGCTCTAACCATTGAGCAAAACAGGCCAGGGCTCAAGTATTTCCTTTTATTTTTATTTATTTATTTTTAAATTAATTAATTTATTTTTTACAGATGTTTCTCCTTTTCCCTCCACTGATTCCCCCTCCCTCTCCTTCCCCACCTGTCCCCAGCTTTGTTGTCCATGTCCATTGTTCATGCACATATGCATATAAGTTCTGTGGTTTATCTCTCCTCCACCACCCCCTCAAGTATTTCCTTTTAGATGCTCCTGAAAGATTTGACTTCAGAGGTATCTTGAAAATTTCCCGAGGAAGGATACCGAGGTACTTAATGTCCAAACTAGTCATTGTTCCCAAAGAAAACTACCTACCTCCTTCCCACATGAGCAACATACTCGTGTATTATTATATTCCCTTTCTCTCTATTTATATCATTTTTGTGTGTGTGTACTAGAAAGTCATAGCTTTGGGGTGTTATAAAAGATCGTTTCAGTGATTCTTTTATACAAGGCTTTATTTTTCTGCATCTTTGGATTCCTTGGCTTTAATATTCCTCTGGTCCCATTGCCCATCCTCTTTTGTCTGAAATTGTTGACTCTAACCTGGGTCCCACTTCCTTATAATACATCCTTATATCCTGTTAGTCGTTACATACAGTTGTATAATGTTTATGGTGTACTGAATGTTACTTTCCTTTTCCTGTTTTTCCAAGTATATGATTGTATGTTATTGGAAAACTACTAGTTTGGATTGCGACCATATTTAGACCTTTATGTTCAGACAGTTGATAAGAGGAAATGAACAAAGATACTGTGATGAACTTTTAATTTATAATTTGTTGAATTTAAAAATAAGTTTAATATAGAGAACTATTAGGCTAGTTTTATTTTCTTCATTCTTAAGTAGGCATTGTTTAATTCTAATTTTCAATCTAATAAGAGTGGGGATGAAAGTGATAACTCTGTACTCAAATACTGTGCTAAGCTTTACTTATATACATTAATTTGTTTAGTCCTTTTGTTGACCCTATCATATAGGATTGTTGGAGATTATTATCATGCCCATTTCTACGATTGACAGAAAGTTAAGGAACTTGCTCATGGTCATTTAGCAAGTAGGGGAACTAGTATTTGAAACTAGCCTTATTTGTGTATTTAACCACTGTGCCATACCCTCCCTGCTTGTTTGTCTATTCTTCAGTGAAACCAAGGCCAAGATTTTACATTATCTTGGCAGGAGTGAAGGTTTTGAAGTCAGTTTCAATAGTAATGAGAAACAAAATCTGATCAATTTTAAACTTAGTGTTACTAATATTTTTGATAGCTTTTGTAACTTGCATCAACTTCATATAGATAAAAATATATTTAAAAAATGAAGATATATTCAGTTAATAGTGATGTGTTGAGATTAACTCTGACCACATTCCAAATTTTATTTGCTCCAATTTGGTGAAAAGTTGTATATGTTTATGTGCTAACATACCAATAATGGTTACTGATTCCTTTTCTAGCAAGGACTTGTTGGGATCTGATAAAACTTGAGGAGTTTCTTTTTCATCATTTAACCTTTACTTCACTGTCAGTTTATATTTCCCTCTACTTTTATTTTAAGAAATTTGAGGACTTTTGTCTTTTGTTAACTGATCTCAAATACAGTTTTTTGACGCTTTTATTATTCTTCTAAACATTTGTGGATTTCTTGAAAATATACCTATTTTCTCTTTCCTCCTTTTCTTTTTCCTTTACAAAACACACCTCTTTCTCTTAAAATATTATCATACTGTAGTTCAAATTCTGCAATGATCATGCTATTATAAGGAGAAAACTTTGAGTAAGAAAACACTTCTAGGCCTCCTATCTGTAGTATTTTATACAGACAGACTTCCAGACACTCAGGATAATTTTAGAGCCTTCTTGGAATTAACCAAACAAGCTATAACCTGTGTATGAATTCAGGAGGAGTGAGAATCTAATACGTATTAAGGAACTGGTATAACTGCTTAATATTTATTTTCATAAAAGTGAGGTTTGTATTTTAGCAGATGATGTCTCAAATTAATCTTATTTTCCTTTTTTTTTTAAAAATCTCTTTTCATAGGTAGGTCATTCTGATATGGATATTAGTCAGTCTTTTTCATCTGTATTGCCTCCATTTGTTCCTCATGAGCCAACCAGGGAGTTGGAGTATCACTCTTCGGATCTCAGAATGTTGAGGGTATCTCCTGAGATTGTGCCAAAGACCCTCAAACATTTATCAGGTATGTAGAAAAGATGGTATTAAATGCCCTTATGGCTTGCTCGTTAAAATACCTCGTTATGGCTAATTTTTTATATTTGAACTCCTGCAGTAATGTTCACTTTGGGTTAAGTATATTTATAAATGCCCAGGTTTCTTTCATTAGATAAACCTTTTGATTTTTCATGACAGTGTTTAGAACTGAATTACATGGACAAGTCTGAATTAGAGTCAGTTTCTTTCTATATTTCTTTCTGTGATTTAAAGGGAAAAAAATTGAGTACAAGAGGACAAGAGCGGATATAAATAAGTTTGTAGAGAGGAAATTGAGAGCCTAGTTTTGAGGCAGAAAGCAAGATTATCTGTCTGCTCTGGGAATTGGGGACAGGTGGAGGTTTTAGGGGCTTAGAGGGAGAGAGGCTTGGGTGACGGCTCAAAATTTATGTTGAAGTGAGTAGGAGATGGAGCCAACTAAGGACAAGCAAAAGGATTGGCAGGTAGTTCTGAGAAGTCAGCTGAGGTTATAAATTACTTTATGATATTGTCAGCCTGTATAGTATCTCTGATTTTTTTTCTGTACTAAAACCCAAGAATGGAGAAGATTAATTGTAGGATTGATCCTTGGTTGAGGGATTTGGGTGTGGTGGAAGGATAGCAGTGGAAGGGCATAAGTGAGAGAAGAGTTGATCATCTATTGGTTTCAGCCTGCACAGGGAAAGAAAAGAAGTCAAGAAAGTTGTTAGTCTGGGAGAAAATAAAGAACAGAAGTTTATTTATGAAGTTGAATGCATGAGGTGGGTATGAATTACTGAGGGAGCTAGAAGAACGGGTAATTTTGGTCAGAGTGAGTTAGTACATTTAATTGTAGATGAGTTTGAAGGGTGATAAGATCTATGGGTTGGCTCTGAGCAGATTGGATAGTAGAAGTTGAATAAAGATCATTGGGATAAAGTAAATTGAGATTTTGAGGCTAGCGTTTTGGATTGATTAACTATGTTTAAATATTTTCTGATTTTTGTGGGATTTGGGGTTTAGGGAAGGCTGTGTACTGGACCTTGAAGTTTTCAAGAAGTGAATGGGAGCAACTGGGAGTTGCAAGAATATGATAGATGGAGGATAGTATTGAAGCTATGTGTGACCTAAACCTCAGCAAAGAAGGTTTTATTTGTGTGTTTGTTTATTTGAGGAAAATAGAAAATAATGGTAAGGAAACCATTGTGTGAGAGGTAGTAAAATGTCAATGTCCAACTTCCATCTCTTTTTGTTTCCAAATTATGGTATAGGAGAGGGCTGCATAGTCAGAATTATCAAGAGGAAAACCAAGTGTTTTTTCTTATTTTTAAATCCTCACCTGAGGGCATGCTGAGAGAGATAGAGATAGAATGATATGTGAGAAGTGAGAGAGAAATACCGATCCGTTGCCTTTCGTACTTGCCTCGACTGGGGATGGACCCACAACCCAGGTATGTGTCCTGACCAGGAATTGAACTGGCAACCTTTCAGTGCACAGGGCAATGCTCCAACCAACTGAACCACTCTAGTCAGGCTCACGTGTTTTGTTTTGTTTTATCCTCACCTGAGGACATTTTTCCATTTTTTGTTCAGATAGAGTGGGAGGGAGAGAGAGGAAGAGAGAGAGAGAGAGAGAGAGAGAGAGAGAGAGAGAGAGAAAGAGAGAGAGAGAGAGAGAAACATCGACATGAAAGGGACACACCTGCACGACCAACCAGGGCTGGGGACAAACTGCAACTGAGGTATGCGCCCTTAGCGGGAACCGAACCCAGGTCTCTTTGGACCACAGGCCGATGCTCTAACCGCTGAGCCAAACTGGCCAGGGCGGCTCACGTGTTTTTTTTTGTTTGTTTGTTTTGGTACGTGCCCCTGGCAGGAACCGAACCTGGGACTCTCTGGTCTGCAGGCCGATGTTCCAACCACTGACCCAAACTGACCAGGGCATCATGTGTTTTTTTTATTTTTTTTATTTTTTCTTATCCTCACCCGAGGACATTTTTCCATTTTTTGTTCAGGTAGAGTGGGAGGGAGAGAGAGGAACAGAGAGAAAGAGAGAAACATTGATGTGAAAGGGACACATTGAGTGGCTGCCACCTACACGACCAACCAAGGCTGGGGACAAACTGCAACTGAGGCATGTGCCCCTAGCGGGAACTGAACCCAGGTCTCTCCGGACCGCAGGCCGACGCTCTAACCGCTGAGCCAAACTGGCCAGGGTGCATCACGTGATTTTTAAGGCAAAAAGTTGGAGAGTAATTTCTATGAAAAATTTGAGAAAGCCTGTTTATTAAACAGCAGAATGGTTTCAAAGAGCACAGAGGAAAGAAGACAGAGAAGGAATAAATAGTGGGAGGAATCTAGGTAAGAAAACAGCAGGATAGGATATGGGAACAAGAGACTGGTAATATTTGCATTTTGTCTGGACCAGGAATTTCAGTGATAATCATAGTTGAAATGAGTGGCCTCAAATATACTAATTTTATCAGAGGTAATTGTGATGTCAGAACTATCTGAGGGTCCCAGCGCACACCTAGTCTTAGAGATGAGTTGATGGTTGCCTTAGGGTTGGGTTATCTAAAAATGTTGTTTTGTGGCCTTCTTTCACAAATTATAACACACCTTGGTAAAGAATTCTCAGGTTTCTGTTCACCTCCCCCTCACCCCATAATATCCTTTGAAATTGTTCTCAAGTTCTTGGGTATTCTGTTCTCTTTTTTTCCTTTTTGCATTTCAGTTTGGGCAGTTTCTGTTGACCTACCTTAAAGCTCATTGATTCATTCCTCAACTCAGCATGTGCATTCTGCTGATGAATCCATCAAAGGCACCCTTCATTTCTGTTACAGTGTTTTGATTTCTATCATTTCTTTTTAAAAAATTTTTATTAATTTATTTTTGTTACAGATGTTTCTTGTTTATTCCCCCTAGACTTTCTCCTCCCCATCCTGCCCCTAGCATTGTTGTCTATGCCCATTGGTTATGCATACATGCATATAAGTTCTTTGGTTCATCTCATCCACCCTACCCCCACTCCCCTACTCTGAGGTTTGTCAGTCTGAACCATACTCCTTTCTATGTCTCGCGGTCTATTTTGTTCATCAGCCACCATGTTTCTTATACTCCACAAATAAGTGAGATCATGTGGTATTTGTCTTTCTTTGATTGGCTTATTTTGCTTAGCATAATACTCCCGAGGTCCCTCCATGTTGTCTCAAAGGATAAGAGATATTTCTTTCTTACAGCTGTATAGTATTCCATTGTATATATGTACCACAGTTTTTTTTATCCACTCATTTATTGATGGACACTGGACTGTTTCCAGATCTTGGTGATTGTAAACAGTGCTGCTATGAACATAGGGGTACATATATTCTTTCTGATTGGTGTTTCAGGCTTCTCAGGATATATTCCTAGAAGTGGGATCACTGGGTCAAATGGCAATTCACGTTTTAATTTTTTTTTATCTTCACCCGAGGACATTTTTTCATTTTTTGTTCAGATAGAGTGGGAGAGAGAGAGAAGAAGAGAAAGAGAGAGAGAGAAACATCAACATGAAAGGTACACATCGAGTGGCTGCCACCCACACAACCCAACCAGGGCCAGGGACAATCTGCAACTGAGGTACATGCTCTTAGCAGGAACTGAACCCGGGTCTCTCTGGACCGCAGGCTGATGCTCTAACCGCTGAGCCAAACCAGCCAGGGCTGGAAGTCGACTTTTTTTTTTTTGAATTTTTTTTATTTTTTTATTTTTTTGTTACAGATATTTTACCTTTTTACCCCATTGGTACCCCCCATCCCACCCCCCATCCACCCTGTCCCCGGCTTAGTTGTCCATGTCCATTGGTCATGCATACATGCATATAAGTTCTGTGGTTTATCTCTTCCCACCCCCCCACCCCCCATCCCCTCTTCTGAGGGATGTCAGTCTGTGCCCGACTTCCATGTGTCTGGGTCTACTGTATTCCTCAGACTGTTATGTTCATTATATTCCGTATATAAGTGAGATCATGTGGTATTTGTCTTTTTCTGCTTGGCTTCTTTCACTTAGGATAATACTTTCCAGGTCCCTCCATGTCGTCTCAAAGGATAAGAGATCTTTCTTTCTTACCGCTGCATAGTATTCCATTGTGTATATGTACCACAGCTTTTTGATCCATTCGTCTACTGGTGGACACTTGGGCTGTTTCCAGATCTTAGCTATTGTAAATAGTGCTGCTATGAACATGGGGGTACATATATTCTTCCTGATTGGTGTTTCAGGCTTCTTAGGGTATATTCCCAGCAGTGGGATCACTGGGTCAAATGGAAGTTCAATTTTTAATTTTTTGAGGTAGCACCATATTGTTTTCCATAGCGGCTGCACCAGTCTGCATTCCCACCAGCAGTGTATTAGAGTCCCCTTTTCTCCACACCCTCGCCAACACTTGTTGTTTGATGATTTGTTGATGGCGGCCATTCGGACAGGTGTGAGGTGATACCTCATTGTTGTTTTAATTTGCATCTCTCTGATGATTAGTGATGTTGAGCATTTCTTCATATGTCTCTTGGCCATTTGTATGTCCTGTTTGGAGAGGTGTCTATTCAGCTCCTCTGCCCATTTTTTAATTGGATTCTTTGTCTTCCTTTTGTGGAGTTGTATGAGCACTCTGTATATATTGGAAATTAACCCCTTATCTGATACATCATTGGCAATGATGTTCTCCCATACAGTGGGTTGCCTTTCCATTTTGATGATTGTTTCTTTTGCTGTGCAGAAGCTTTTGAGTTTGATGTAGTCCCATGTGTTCATTTTCTCCTTTATTTCTGTTGCCTTGGGTGATGTATCAGTGAAAATTTTGCTGCGTATGATGTCCGAAATTTTTTTGCCTACATTTTCTTCTAGAATTTTTATGGATTCACGGGTCACATTTAAGTCTTTTATCCATTTTGAGTTTATTTTTGTGTATGGTGTAAGTTGATGGTCTAGTTTCATTTTTTTGTCTTTTTTTTTTTTTTTTAATCCTCACCCGAG